GGTGACTGGGGTAATCGGGATGGGTGTGTTGGAGGCAGTGCGGTTGGCGCAGGATAGAGCAGGGTTTAGGGCTGTTGTGCATAGGGTCACTATGATTCGAAAACGACTCAACGGCACATAACAACAACAACAACATGCCTATTATCACCCATCTTTTCAAGTCTTCATTGAATCTTCCCTATTCCTTTACCACTCCCATCTGCCAACTCACCTCTATTATCCCAATGATTTCCCTCCTTTCCCTTTTCCGACACCCTTTCCCTTTTGAACATTTATATGCATCTTTCTTATCTTTCAGTTTTACATTGGTCTTCTCACTATTTATCCTTATAAGACTGAGTTATTTCATTCAGCCTAATGCTCTCTAGCTCCCATAATATTTTATGAAATCGTTCCTTAGTGTTGCACAGTATTCCATGGTGTAAATGTACCACAATTTCTCCATCCGTATATTTATTAATAAGCATTTGAGCAGTTTCCCTTTTCTTGCTATTGTGAATAACGCTGTGAATATAGGTGTATATATATCCATTTGGTCTCATTTCTGACTTCCTTGGAGTATATTCCTAGCAGTCGAATAGCTACATTATATGGAATTTCCATGTTGAGCTTTTTGAGGAGATACCACACTGCCTTCCAGAGTGGTTGTACCATTTTTCAGTCCCATCAGCAGTTGCATGAGAGTTCCAATCTCTCCTCATCCTCTCCAACATTTATTGTTTCCTGTCTTGTTAAGTTGTTCTAGTTCTGCAGGGGTGAAATGATCTCTTATCGTTATTTTGATTTATATCTCTCTGATGGCTAGTGTCTGTTGGCCATCCGAATATCTTCATTTGTGAAGAGTCTTTTCATGTATTTTGCCTATTTTGTTTTGGGTTATCAGTCTTTTTCTTGTGGAAACCCTCCCTGTAGCATTCTTAAAGTTTATGTATGAGACCCTTTGCCTGCAATGTCATTGTGAAAATTTTTCCCCCAGTCTGTAGGCTTTCTTTCAACCTATTGGGAAAAGGTTTTGATGCACACAGGGACTTGATTTTTAGAAGGTCTCATTTGTCAATTTCATCCTTTCTTGATTCTGTGTTTCTGACTATTTGGAAGCCTAGTTATGCTATACGCTGTAGCTTCTCAGTTTGGTCCTGTTTTTTTATTTTCCCTTATGATTTTGGGTTTACATCTCCCCCTCCCAGTCATTCTGAGTTGCTTTTTGTGTATTGTGTGAGATGTAGATCTAGATATCCAGTTTTGCTAGCGCCATTTGTTGAAGAGGTGGTTGTTTCCTTATTTGATAGGTTTTGTTTTCTTTCAAAGACCAGTTGACCATAATAGGTGGTGGTTGTTGTTGTTTATGTGCTATTGAGTCACCTGCAACTAATAGAGACTAATAACTATGTACAACAGCTCTGAAGACTGCGCTATTTTGAGCTAGCTCACACCTACCCTCATTACCACAGTTACTGTATCAATCTATCTCTCTGGGGTCTTCCTCTCCTGCACTATCCTTCCATCTTTCCAAGCATGATGTCCTTCTCCAAAGATTGATCCCTCCTGGCCATGTGCCCAAAGTATATGAGACAGAGCTTCAAAATCCTAGCCTCCAAGGAGAAACTTGTTTTCACCCTTTCCAAGACAGACTTATTTGTTTTCTTGGCAGTCCAAAGTATGTTCAAGATTCTTCTCCAGTACTACAACTCAAAGGCATCGATTCTTCTGTCATGCTTAATCATTTTCCAGATCTCTGATACATAGCTAGTAATTGTGAAGCTATGTCCTGGATCACATGCACTGTAGTCTCTAAACTGACATCTCTTTTTCTCATTACTCTGGAGTAGAGAGGTCCCTGATGGCAGATTTTCACAGTGTTGTTGGTCTTGCTTTCCTGACTGCTGGTGCCAAGAGTGTTGATTGTGGATCAGAGCAAGCTGTAATTGTTAACAATGTCAATCTCTTTTCCATCTGTCATGGTGCTGCCAATTGGCCCAGAGGTGAGAATCTTTGTCTTCTTAATGTTGAGCTTCAATCTGTATTGAAAAAAAAAGAAAAAAAAATCTGTATTGAAGACTACAGTCCTTGACCTTCTGCAGCAAGCACCTCAGTTCCTCCTCAGTTTCAGCAAGCAGCATTGTGTCATCTGCACAACATAGGTTAATGATGAGTCTTCCTCCAATCGTGATGCCACACTTCTCCTCATAAAGCCCAGCCCTCCAGAATGATCTATTCTGCATTTAGATTAAAAAAAACGTGTCAAGAGAGGACACATCCCTGATACACTTCTTTCCTAATAGGTTGATAGGTTGAATTCTGGGTTCTTGATTCTATTCCATTGGTCTATGTTTCTGTTATTGTGCCAGCACCATGCTGTTTTATTTATTACAAATGTGTAGTATGTTTTGAGTTCCGGTAGTACTGTTCCTCTCTCTTTTTTTTTTTTTTTTTTTTTCAGAAGAGCTTTGCTTGTTTGGGGTCTGTTTCCTTTCCAAATTTACTTTACAATTGCCTTTTCCATTTCTTTGAAGAATGAGTTCGGTATCTGTATTGGAATCGTATATGGATGTGTATATTGCTTTTGGTAGGGTTGTCATTTTCACATTGTTGAGTCTTCCTATGCAAGAACAGGGAATATTTTTTCATTTAGTTAGCTTTCTTAGTTGACCATGGTGGAAAAAAGGCATAGCATAAGTTCACTTTTTTCTACAACTTCACTTTAAGCTTACATTGTGTCTTTCCTTCTCTACAATAGTACAATGATACCACTGGAAAAAAAAATTTAAAAAAAAAAAAATGGACATTAAGAAACAAGAAAATCTTACCAGAATGATTAGCTTTTTGGTTTGCTACCAGCAATTAAAGAAAGCTAAAATGACCAAAAAGTAATGCAGACAAAAGGGAAACAGAAGGCAGTCTAATTAGTTAACAGTTGGTTTTAAATTACCTTTTTCAGTAAAATTAGAACATCTGTTGGTAGGATTTTATTTTGAGCCTAGGAAATTAGACTTAAGTGTATTTGCAGGTGTTGTACTATGCTTTTCATCATTTCTGAAGCAATGCTTTTTTTCCTTTTTTGCATTTACTGTTTTCAACATAGGACTATAGAGCTTTTTGGGTTTAGTTTGTTTTACAAAGGTAGTTCCTTCTCTACCTCTTTAATATTAACAAGTGAGGCATTCAATTTTGTTTTCATGATCAGATGCTCTTGGTGTTTTTACATATTTATTTTTCTTCTAGTTTCCTGATAGGGAATTTCTTTTGCGTGTGTCCTACATGGAAATTTACAACGAAACCATTACAGACTTACTCTGTGACACACGAAAAATGAAACCTTTAATAATTCGAGAAGACTTCAATGTGAGTATAAGAGTTACTTTTTAGAATTACTGTTCTTTTTAAAGGACTTCTGTTTGCATCATTTCTTTAAAGTATTTACAGAGATCCATCTTTTAAACAAAGTGTGAAATCTTAAAATGTAGCTGGATTGCCTGAGTTTAAATGGCTAAAAATAGCCAAATAGAGGTATAACGCTATAACGCAGTATGCTCTTATAAGGAATAAATTGTGAATTTTGTAGTTTGCTTGCTTTCATGAAGAATAATATTTCCCATTTTCCATTTATAACTTCCCTAAGTGTGCCTTTTGAGTTCCAGATTTTTAAGTGACTTTTAGTTCTCTAATCTTCCTGTAATTGTTTCAGAGGAATGTATATGTGTCAGATCTCACAGAAGAAGTGGTTTATACATCAGAAATGGCTTTGAAGTGGATCACAAAGGGAGAGAGTAAGATTTCATGTTGTGTTCTTTAACATATATAAATATAATTCTTCAACAGTTTAACCTTCAGATCACACTTTAACTTTAGAACTAAAATATAAGTTAATGGTTCTCATTTGATGTAAATATATGACTGAAATATGACCAATTTTTACAGAGAACAGACATTATGGAATAACAAAAATGAATCAAAGAAGCAGTCGTTCTCACACCATCTTCAGAATGGTAGGCAGTTTTCTTTCTGTTCCTACTTGAACTTCCCGGTTAAGAATGACTAGTTTGTTGGGGGTTTTTTGTTTACATTTCCTTTTCTGTCTAGATTTTGGAAAGCCGAGAAAAAGGTGAACCTTCTAATTGTGAAGGAGCTGTCAAGGTGGCCCATTTGGTGAGTATTGGTGAACCTTTATAATGGGACATAGGAGTCAAAGCAAAGTTTAATTAGGCTTGTTTGGTTTAATGAGAACTGTTAACTAAATAGGAAACAACAGTCGGTAAATTTGTAGCTTTCCTGGTCTTGTCAGAAGCATCAGAGTGATAGTTGAAACGTGGAAAGAAGTTACAAGAACTTTCTCCCTATAATGTTATAGCTGACATCTAAAAGCTGTAAAGACCAGAGAGTTGAAGCTTTTTTTAATCAGTAGTAGAGTAGGATTCTCTTATTTATCGATTTTTTATCATTGATGCCCTTTAACTATTATCTTTCCAAAACCCTAACCTACTCAATTACCATTAAGAATCTTATCAGGGGAGAAATCTTCAAAAAGTCATCTTCTGGCACTTTAGAGGTAGCCCTTTCTTGAGTGGCTCTTGTCTTAGCCTTTGAAGAGTGATAATAACCCAGCTTCTCTTAGCTTTGCTCCTTTACTGCTCCCTTCTGTACCTTCTTTTTTCCTACCCGCTTAACAAATACATGGGAGTGTCTTTGCCTTTTTACTTCAAGTTCTTGCCTTCAGACATTCTGCCATTGTTTCTGTGTTGATGACTGCTAGATATTTATTCTATTTATATTCTAATTCATTTTCCCTAAAGATTATTATAATTACATGCCCCAATTTCTCAAACTCTAGTGTGCCTAAAGTAGAATTAATTTCTACCATAATGGATTATCCTTTGCAACAATACCAACATTATTCTAGTGATTTGAGTCAATTTGCCTCATCTTTTTCTGCCACCCTATTGTCCATACCGTTGCCCTTTCTTCTAGATTCCACCTCAGAACATTCTCCTGATGTCCTACTTATGCAGCTTCTCTTGAGTCACTCTATCAGTCTTCTAGAACCTGTCCTCTGTAGCTTCAGTCCATCAAACAGAATACTAATATTAACAAAGCACTACTTTCAATATGTCACTTCCCTAGATAAGTTCTGGCTACTCCTAACCAATCTAACTTTACTTCTTACTAATACACAAGAGGAGAGCTCTTGGGACCTACACAGCCGGGGGTCGTACAGCCCTACAGCACTGTTAAGCAGCACTAACTCCACAGCAAAGAGTGAATGTGTGATTACATACAAACTTCTCTACTATAGGTAGATTGAGCCTCTCGGTTTCTTTGAACATAAATGCTTGCTCCTCCTCTTTATATCCCTTCATCTGTATTTAATACAGACTGGATTCATCACCCCTTTACCTTTCTTGATATATCTAGGTAATCCCTAGTAGCTACTATGAAATAAAGATTATAATTCTCTGCATATTTCAAACAAGTAACTGAGATGGGATGATAAAATATGATTGACTAATTTCCTACCTGTCTCTGAAAGCTTCGGTAAAGTTCTGAATTTTTTTTAATGCACTCAGAATATTTACAGGGCATTTACCATGTTCTGAGCACAGTGCTCTGGGATTAAAGAAGATATCCCTGCACTACTTACCGTCTCTGTCATTACCACTCAAGCCCAAGCCACCTTCATCTCCCCCCTGGATTCTTGGGTCCCTGCTGTCACTTTTATCCCTCTCAAATCTATTCACTATTCAGGGGGAACATTCAAATCCTTCAAACACTTAAATCAAGTTATGCCAATTCCTTGCTTGTTCATAACTTCCCATTGCATTTAGCGTAGGGGTGGAAATCTAGAAATTTTGCTTTAAAAGTCCTATAAATAGCCATATCTATTTCTCTCTTTACGTCTGGTCTCACTCTCCATTTTACCACCCCTGCCATACTGCCCTATTTTCTCAACATCAGTTCGTTTCTTTTTTGTTACTATCTAGAGTTTACTTTTTCTTGACTTTTTTGCATCAGTAGTTCTCTGTTTTCTGTGGCCTGTTTAAAAGTATAGTTTTCTCAGAATTCAGCAAATATTGGGTTTTTTTATGTTCATAGAGGTGGGGTTTTTTTATTAAATTTTATTAATTTTAATGAACATTTACAGAGATTTTTGGTTTCCATTCATTCATTGTTGCACTGTTTTCTCTACCGTTCCCCCCAGTTCGTTCTTCTTTCCCCCCCCCCTTGAAAGTCTGTTTTAATTGTCCAATTGCCACAGTGCTTGTCAAAGCCAGTTCTGATTAATCTCCTTTGTCAGTGTGTCCTTTGCCATTCCCTATCACTCCTCCCTCAGAGAGACTTCACCCTGATTCATAAGGAAAAGGGGACAGCATATTCTCTTAGCTACTTTCTGCTGAAAAGGGATGCTGTAGGTTTGAGGGTGAAGATCTTCTCTCACTACTCTAAAGGGCCCCTTTGGCAATAGGAAACATGTAGACTATTGTGGAGATTGGTTTTGGAATTTAGATACACTGTTATCAATTGTGCTTAGCCATACATGTTCATCAAATATTGTTAAAGCATAGAGACTGCCTACCATGAACTCGGAAGTATGTTAGATGTGAAGGACACAGAAGTGTACCAGAGCAGTAAGCTCCCCGTCTCAAAGAGCTTGCACGCTATATACTGGGTAGTAGTGAGAAGGGAAGGCTGATTTGAAAGAGAAAGGATGAATAAGAAATGTATCATGATAAGTTAAGTACAGATCATTTAAAATAGAGTATTGGAAGAGAGACAGAGCAGATGTTTGGATTGGATAATTAAGGAGGGCTTCACATTAAGCTAAGGCATTAGTTGGACTTCATGTAGGAAATAGAAAGCCTCCTTTGTCAGCACTGTAGGACATATTGTAAAGAAGGGACCAATTTGTGTCCACAAGAAAGGAAAGAGCATAAACAGAAGAATTTGAGACAAGGCTGTGAATTAGATATTCCGATATACCGTGTATTAAAACTGTTTTGGAAGTTCACTAAAGGTTTACTTTCATCTGTCTTACAGAATTTGGTTGACCTTGCTGGCAGTGAAAGAGCTGCACAAACAGGAGCTGAAGGTAATGTAGACTCATAAAATGTGTTGGTCTTACTGTAAGTCTGTTCTTTTAAAAGATAAAAGTTCCAATAAATATTTTTCTGATAAAATTAACATAAAAATTATGGTCTAAATTTGGCTAATTACTTACTGTTGGTTACTATAGGAACAATTAAAAACTGTAACTGTACAGCTGATAAAATTGTATACTTGGAGAAGATTCATAAGTACCATGAAAATCATCCAAACTTTTAATAATCAGTAGGGAAATTCAGAAAAGTGCTTTTAATTATGGGCTGTCAGATCAATTAAGACTCAGCAACGGACCAGAACCTTGCACTATCCTGCACCATCCTCACAATCTCTTCCTTGTTCCAGCCTTCTTTTTCTCTGACACTCCACCTTCTTCATCATGATGCTTTTTTGTTCCACGGACCAGCGCCTCCTAAGAACATAACCAAACTCAGTGAGATGGAGTTTCACCATTCTTGCTCCTCAAGGAGCACTCAAGTTGCACTTCCTCCAAAATATATTTGTTGTCAATGGGATTGTCTGTACTGTGTGCCAGTACCATAATTCAAGAGCATTACTTCTTTCAGTTGTCCTTATTCATTGTTCAACTTTCAGATGCATAGAAAGCAGTTGGAAAAATAAAACCACGTGACTTAGATTGTTGTTGGTTTTGTTATACTTGTCAAGTCAACTCCTGTGAACAACAGATTTAAATCTTGCACTTCTCATCCATTCTCATCATTTCTGGCACACTGGAGTCCATTGCTGCTGTGACTGTGTCAACCCATCTCATTGAGTGTCTTCCTCTCTTTTGCTGACCCTCCACCTTTCTAAGCATGATGTCCTTTCCAAGGAATAGCCAACCCCTCTTAATGACATGCCCAAAGTATTTGAGATGAAACTTCATCTTTCCTTCCATGGAGCACTCTGGCCATTCTTTTTCTAAGACATGTCTCTTTATTCTCTTGGCAGTCCATGGGATATTTGATACTTTTCTCCAGCACCACAAATCAAAGGCATCAATTCTTCTTCTGCCATCCTTATTAATTATCCAATTCTCAGATGCAAGTGATTGAAATGATCATGGCCTTAAACAGGTGCATCTTAGTCTTTAAACTATTGTTGTTGCCCATCAGTACATTGGAGAGGTTCCTAACAACAGATTCTCCCATTGCAACACATTGTTTGATTTCTTGACTAATAGTGCCAAGGGTGTTTTCTTTGTAGATCCAAGTGAGATGAAATCATGGGCAATTTCAGCTTTTCTCCATCTATCATAATGTTGCCTGGCTGTGAGGATTTTTTAATATTAAGATAAATCTTCTTGATGTTAAGTTGTAATCCATATTGAAGAGTGTAGTGTTTGGGCACACCTTTAAATGAGGGTCATCACTCTTTAGTACTTAGACAAAATGAAGAGGAATAGTGTTGCATTCATAGTCAAAAAGAATATTTCAACGTCCATCCTGAACTACAATACTGTGAGAGATAGGATGCTATTGATACACATATAAGCAAGACCTGTTAATACAACTATTCATATGTATCCAACAAAGCTAAAGATGAAGCCATTGAGGACTTCCACAAAATTTTGCAGTGTGAAAATGATAAAACATGAAATCGAGATGCATTAGTACTTGGTGACCAAAATACAAAAGTTGGAAACAAAGAAGGACTGATAGTTGGAAAACAGGAACTTGGTTAAAGAAATGAAGCTAGAGGTTGAATGATTGAGTTTTGTACAATCAATGATTTATCCATTGCAAACACCTTTTTAAAACAAACATATGGTGACTATACACATGGACCGCACCTCATGAACTAAAGAGGAGTTAGATAGACATCTGTGAAAGAGTCGGTGGAGTAGCTCAATATCTGTAAGTCAAAACAAGACCAAGATTGATGTGGAACAAATCAATTGACAAACACAAGTTAAAATGGAAGTTGAAGAAAATGAAAACAAGTAGATGAGTTAAAATATGACCATGAATTAAATTGCAATAACAAATTAGATGCACTGAATACTAGTGACTGAAGACCAAAAGAGTAGTAGGATGACATCAAAGGCATCATCCATGATGATACAAAAAAAAATTATTACAAAGAGAAAGAAGAAAGATCGAAATGGATGTCAGAAGAAAGAGACTCTGCAAATTTCATTAGAACTTTTTCAGAAAGGTAGTGGGATAAAAACCTAAATATACTAATAATTTATATATTAATAAATCAGTCAAAACAAGACCAGATATTGAGTGTGGATCAGATTATCAATTACTCATGTCAAAGCTCAAATTGAGGCTGAAGAAAATTGAAATATCTTCAAGAACCAAAATATGGTGTTGAGTCTATCCTATCTGAATTTAAAAATCATCTTAAGAATAGGTTTGAAGCATTGAACACCAGTGATCAAAGATCAGATGAATTATGAGATGACATCAAGGATATCATCCATGAAGACTGCAAAAAGAAGGAAAAGAAAAAACCAAAATGGATATCAAAAGAGACTCTGAAAATTGAACTAGAGCATCAAGAAGCCAAAACAAAGGGAAAACATGCCAAAGTAAAAGAGCTAAACAGAAGATTTCAAAGGGCAGCTCTAAAAGACAAAGTATTATAATGGAATGTGCAGAGAGACATAGAATAGGATAATAAAAAGGGGAGAACTCACTCGACTCCCTCAAGTTGAGAGAACTGAAAAACAAATCCAAGCTTGAATCTTGAATGATCCAGGACATATCAAAAATAGATGGAGGGAATATACAGAATCACTGTACCAAAAAGAATTGGCCGACACTGAAGTACTCCAGGAAGTACTATATAATCAAGAGCCAATGGTAATAAGAAAGAAGTTCAAGCTGCACTTAAGGCATGACAAAATATAGTGCCTGCCCCAGGAATCGATGGCATACCAATTGACATAATTTCAAATGACTGATGTTGTCCTGGATGTGCGTATCAGCCTATGCCAGGAAATTTGAAGGACAGCTGTCTGGCCATTGCATTGGGAAAGTCTGATGTCAGAGACCTCTCCAAGATGCTAAGGAGCAATAATGTCTCTTTGGAGACTAAAGTTGCCAGATACAGGCCATGGTCTTTGCAATTACTTGCTATGCATCAGAGAGCTGGACAATGACTAGGGATGATAGAAGGAGATTTGATGCCTATGAACTGTGGTGCTGGAGAAGAGTATTGAATATACCATGGACTGCTAGGAGAACAAACAAGTTCGTCCTGGAGAGGGTGAAGCCACACTGCTCCTTGGATACAAGGATTCTGAAGCTTTGTCTGACATACTTTGGACATGTTGCAAGGCGTTATCAGTCCTTACAGAGGGACATCATGCTTGGGAGGATGGAGGGACAGTACAGGAGAGGAAGACCCTCGATGAGATGGATTGATTCAGTCACTAGGGTAGTGGGGATAGGCATGTTGGAGACAATAAGATTGGCAAGAGATAGAGCAGGGTTTAGGGTTGTTGTACATAGGGTCACTATGAGTCGCAGGTGACTCGACAGCACATAAAAACAACAGCAACAACTGTATAATCAAGAGCCAATGGTAATGAAGAAGTTCAAGCTGCACTGAAAGCATTTTGTGAAATGCAGAGCCCCAGGAATCGATGACATACCAATTGACATATTTCAAATGACAGATGCTGTTCTGGATGTGCTCACCAGCCTATGCCAGGAAATTTGAAGGATAGCTGTTTGGCCAACTGACTGGAAAAGAGCCATATTAGTTCTCCTTCCCAAGAAAGGTGATACATCAGAATGTGGAAATTATTGAACAATACCATTAATATCACATGCAAGCAAAATACTGCTGATGATCATTTAAAAATTACTACAGCAATACATAGAGAACTGCCAGACCTTCAAGCTGGATTTGGAAGAGGCTATAACACTAGGGATGTTGTTGTTGTTGTTGTTGTTGTTGTTGTTGATATCAGATGGGTCCTGGCTAAAAGAAAAGAATACCACAAGAATGTATATATGTGGTTTGCTGACTGTGCAAAGGCATTTGACTGTGTGCCTTAGCAACCAAGTGCTTTAACTATTGTGTTACCAGGGCTTTATGTAAAAGGGCATATTGTTGTTGTGCCATAAAGTTGAAATCCACCCATGGTTGACACTCCAGTGGGAGGAGTTTGTCCTGTGGAGAACTGTATGACTTTCTTTGGATTTGCAATGTAGCTTCTTAGCACTAGACTATCAGGGCACCCCTATCAAAGGGGATAGGCATATTACATATTGACTTGTGTTTAAAAATCTCCTGAAGAATAAGCAAACTATTATTATTCATATTGTGGTGGAGGAATGGGAACTGATAGGAGAATAAAAGTGAGAGAGATCTACTATAGAATAGATCTCCTTTTAGTTAAAAAATTTTCTTGATGTTTGACGTATATGGGCACATTAACCTTGATAATAAATTTTTAAGAAATTATGTACTAATTTAAGTTGCCCATTGCTCATATCTTAGAGATTTGGAGGGGAAAATTTCATTTTAAATTGAGACTTTACTAAGAAATGAACTTTTCTTCTTGTTGTCATTCTTTTAATATTAATTATATTTTTGCCATGTTTCCCAAATGAGAGCCTTTCTTACTTAATAGGTCAGAGCTTGGATGGTATAGTCCATAGGGAGTTGTACCTCTAACTTAGTGGTAGTATCTTCTGTTGATTTGAATCTACCAGTGACTCTGAGGGAAAACGATGGGTAATCTCTTTCTCGTGTGGTTTACTGCCTCAGAAAATCTGCTGGAGGGTAGACATCAGTTCCAACTTGGTGTTTGAGTTTTGTGTTTTAACAGGTACATGGATTAGGTAGAGAGGTCCTTCTAACTGGAATGTTACAGATAGACTGAGACCCAATCTAAAGCATAGCCTTTAGGATCTAACTCTTTTAATTTCTAACTCTTCACCTAACTTGCCGATATATAAAGTGACAGTCTAGTAGTACAGTGGTCATTTTTTATTCTATTACCTATTTAATATATTCAGGTGTACGACTCAAGGAAGGCTGTAATATAAATCGAAGCTTATTTATTCTGGGCCAAGTGATCAAGAAACTTAGTGATGGACAAGTTGGGTAAGTTTACCTTGCTATTACCTAACAATGTTTTATTTCATGGTTTGGTTTTTTGGGGTTTGTTTTGTGTTTGGTTTTTTTATTATAAATATGCAGCTCTAGGGACTAGTTACTGTAATATTTCAGTGACACACTAAATAAATGTGTGGATTTTTTTCTGTATATTTAAGTGTTTCTGATTTTGTGAGCATGTATACTTTATCACACATGTAACTAGCCTACCGAATCTTATTTTTAGTTAGTAATTTTGATCTGCCTTATGTAAAGTATTAACTTTTTAAAACTGTAATTAGATTAAGTAGTCTTTATTTAAAAAACAACTGCCTTTATCATTGAATATGCCTAAACTTTTCTTCTCAATCCTATTTTTCACCTAGTGGCTTCATAAATTACCGGGATAGCAAATTAACACGAATTCTCCAGAATTCTTTGGGAGGAAATGCAAAAACACGTATTATCTGCACAATTACTCCTGTATCTTTTGATGAAACTCTTACTACCCTACAGGTAAGTTTGACCTTTATCTCATCTTAATATGAGGAAAGGTAAACTTTAAAAAGAACAAAGGACCTATTAAAATTATGCTTTGTTTTGTTTTAACTGAATTAACATTCATATTATAATATTGTACATCGTTGCTAAATATGTTGTTTTTGTTGTTGTTAGGTGCCATAGAGTCATGTACTATCCATATACTAACTATATCATTCCTAATGTAATTTTTCTAAATGCTAATCTTTTATATCGCCACATTTTTTTGCCACATCCAAATATGATTTTACTGAATTGACTTTATATTTTTTAAACAATACTTTCTTTTACTGAATTTAATTTAAAAGGAAACTATCTCTACCATAAATTAAATACTCGTATCACTTGCCACACATTGGAGAATTTTGGAAAAAAAAATATGTGTGTGTAACTGTAAGACAAAAACTTTTATATAATTACCTGATAATTACTGCTGCAGTTAGATCTGCATTTTCTGTTTGTTTTTTTAAAAATGATAAATGAGAAACGTCAATACAGTAATAGTTTTCTCAACCATGAATTCAGTGCTATTCAATGGTCACCTCCGTGTACCCACTTAGAATCAATTCTGTTACTCATCCTCTGAGAAACTCTGCTTTAGTACTCTTCAGCATTGGCTCAAGGTACAGTCAGAGCTACAAAGATAGAAAATGAGTCCCTAGCGTCACAGCATTTAGAATCTCATAGGAAGAAAAGAACTGTCCTTCACCTTGATTACCTTGTACTAATAGTGTCTTGAAAGTAGAATAAAATAAGTAAAGCAGTATTCAGTAGACAAGAATGCTGTTGGATAGAAGTGAAATTTCAGACTAGAAGAAATATCATTAAATAAATTAGGGTTGTTTTTCAGTGTTGAACACTCTTATCTATTTTTCTTAGTTTGCCAGCACTGCTAAGTATATGAAGAATACTCCTTATGTTAATGAGGTATCAAGTGACGAAGCTCTTCTGAAAAGATATAGGAAAGAAATAATGGACCTTAAAAAACAATTAGAGGAGGTATGTATGAGCTATATAGGAAAAGACTTAGAGTTGATGTCTGCTAAACGCACAGCGACTCTTAATCTATAAATATATGAATGGCTATCACAAATTGTTTTCAACTAAGTCAGTTCAAAAGTGGTGAACTTTGTTGTGATTTGCTTTCTTGAAATTTTATTTTTAATTTCCAAATGCAAAATTTTATGTTTTCCATGAGCTGAACAGATCAATTTAAAATTGTTTTCAAATTACACAGTGAGGAATTAGATTTAAAGAAATACCCCGTATAGTTACTTAGCACCATCTTCTATGTTTCTAACTCAATGATAGTCTCAGAGTATGGAATATCACAGTGGTCATGCTTATTTGTTTTCTGTTATTTTAACCATGTTGTGTGTTCCTTTAAGTGGTAACTGACTCATAGCTGACCTCCGACAGGTTTTCAGAGGCTTGTACCTAGCAAGAAATGAAATTGTTTTACTTTTTCAGGCAGAACAGCTCGTGGATTCAAACTACATTCCTTAGGGTTGGCAGCCCAACTCCTTACCACTGGCTCCTATATTTTGTAAAAATCTTACATTTTAGTGAATTGTTTTTAAATGACTTTAAAAAGCCTTTCTTCTTACAAGACTAAAACATTACAAATGTTTGCTGCAGATAGTCAGTCTTTGCTTTTAGACCATATTTATGTCTACTTTGTATATGCTCTTAGTATCAATTTCAGATGCTCAAAACTATCAGTTGAGGTTTATAGTTATTTCAACAACATTTTTATAATTCTGTACATGGCTTAGAGAATAGTAGCGTAAGAAGAAAGAGATATTTTACTTTTACATAATTTTGGAAAATTATTGATTATAATAACTACATGTTGGTGTTCTGGGAGCAGGTATTATTTTTTTTAATAAGGTTATAGTTCTCATACAAGTTTAATATAACTAGCATAACTAAAAATTACACTTCACAGGTTTCTTTAGAGACTCGGGCCCAGGCAATGGAAAAAGACCAGCTGGCTCAACTTTTGGAAGAAAAAGACATGCTCCAAAAAGTACAGATTGAGAAAATTCAAAATTTAACACAGATGCTGGTGACCTCTTCCTCTCTCACATCTCAACAGGAATTAAAGGTAAAAGTTAATAGTTTCCTTTTTGCTGTATTTACTGTGAGAACGAAGACCATTCTTAGCAACCAGACTGTCAACATTCCAGAGAATGTTGATATTACTCTGAAGAGCTGCACAGTTATCTTGAAAGGCCACAGGGAACCTTGCAGGGGGGCTTCAATCACATCAATGTAGAACTCAGTCTCCTCAGAAAAAGAAGAGGCTTCACATTAACAAATGGTGGGGAAACAAAAAGGAACTGGCAAAGGGTTCACACCATCTGTAGCCTGTATAAAACATGATCAAGATTTGTTACACTTTTGTTACAAGATGAGGTTTAGGTATGCTCATTTTCCCATCAGTATTGTTACTCAGGACAGTAGGTCTCTGATTGAAATTCAAAAATTCTTAAGTGAAAAATACATTCAGAGGGTTCGAATATGACCATATGTTGCTGGTTCAATAATGCAAGCCCAGAAAGATGAGTTAATTCTTAAAGTAAATGACATTTAGCTTGTATCAAAGCCAGCTGCTTTGATTCAGCAAGATACAATAGTTAAAAACAGATAGCTGAAAAATTTTGGATGGTATCAATGTCTCCAAAAAAGGAACTGTTCAGCAGGCTGATGAGTAATAGCTAGGAGTTTTTCAGCTACAGAAATGAGGCTAGAATACATCTAAATACATAAATAAATACCTAAAATACATCTGATTCTTCATTAATAAAATTCTGTTCATTTAAAAGAAAAAAAAAAACCCCAGCTTAAACCTGGTATAAACAACAAAAACTATTCCAACTCATAGCCCTATATAACATGTAGGGATATGTGTGAAACAGAGAATGGGTCAAATAAGTTGAGGATATTAAAAGAATGGTTGAAAGTGGTATTTTTATAGATGAGGGCATGAGAACCAAGAAAAAGCTGGCAGAGAGAACTAAAACTCCTTGCTAAGTTAATAGCTATAGGAAGAATATCGGAATAAAGGCATTGGAAGGATGTTGTTGTTATGTACCGTCGAGTCGCTTGCGACTCATAGCGACCCCCTGTACAACAGCCCTAAACCCTACTCTATCCTGTGCCAATCGCACTGCCTCTGACACACCCATCCCGATTACCCCAGTCACTGAATCAATCCATCTCATAGAGGGTCTTCCCCTCTTGTGCCATCCCTCCACCCTCCCAAGCATGATGTCCCTCTTCAAGGACCTGTCCCTCCTTGCAACATGCCCCAAGTATGTCAGGCCAAGGCCCAGAATCCTTGCCTCCAAGGAGTAGCCTGGTTTAACCCTCTCTAGGATGAATATGTTTATTTTCTTGGCAGTCCATGGTACATTCAATACTCTTCTCCAGCACCACAGCTCAAAGGCATGAACTCTCCTTCTGTCCTCCCTAGTCATTGTCCAACTCTCTGATGCATAACAAGTGATTGCAAAGACCATGGCCTGTATCAGGCACACCTTAGTCTCCAGAGGGACACCATTGCTCTTGAGTACTTTAGTAGAGAGGTCCCTAACAGCAGACTTTCCCATCGCAATACGGTTTTTAATTTCCTGGCTGCTGGTGCCAAGAGTGTTGACTGGAGCCGAGCAAACTGAAGCTATGAACAATCTCAATCTCTTCGCTATCCATCCTGATGTTACCAATTGGTCCAGTGGTGAGAATCTTTGTCTTCTTGACATTGAGCCTCAGTCCATATTGAAGGCTGCAGTCCTTGACCCTGTGCAGTAAGAGCATGAGGTCCTCCTCAGTTTCAGCAAGCAGGGTTGTGTCATGTGCATCACGCAGATTGTTAATAGATCTTTCACCAATCCTGATGCCACACTTCTCCTCATAGAGCCCAGCCTCATGGATAATCTGCTCTGCATACAGGTTGAAAAGGAATGGAGACAGGACACATCCCTGGCGTATGCCCTTCCCAATTTTGAACCATGCAGTGTTACCCTGCTCTGTTCTGACGACTGTCCCCTGGTCCAAGTATAGGTTTCGCATTAGCACAATTAAATGTTCTGGGATTCCCATCCTTCTCAGAGTCAGCCACAGTTTGTTATGATCCACACAGTCAAATGCCTTTGCATAATCAATGAAACACAGATAGACATTCTTCTGGTATTCCCTGCTTTCAGCTAAGATCCATCTAACATCAGCTACAATATCCCTAGTACCACGACCCTTTCTAAACCCAGCCTGGACTTCTGGCAATTCTCTGCTGATGTGCTGCTCCAGTCGTTTTTGGATAATCTTCAGTAGACTCTTGCTTGCATGTGAAATCAATGATATTGTTCTGTAGTTTCCACACTCTGTTGGGTCACCCTTCTTTGGAATGGGAACAAATACAGATCTTTTAGTAAAAATAGGAATTCTAGGTTATCGAGGTTCAGAAAACTGAAAAGTTTCAGGTGTGGCTTTGGAAGTGAATGGCTCAAGTGAAATTGAGCCGAGGGCTATTTGAATCAGGATTTGTCTATTCTTTATTTATCTGGACTTCTGCTGAGGGAGCTCTGGTGGCATAGTTTTTAGGGAGTTGTGTTGCTCAAAGGCCACGTCTTTGGCAGTTCAAATCTATCACGCACTCTGGGGGAGCTAAATTGTAATCTCCTCCAATGTGATTATCTGCCTTGAAAAACACTGGAGAAGCTGCTTTGAGTCAATTCTGCCTCCATGGCAATGAGAGAAAGGAAGCTTTTGCTGAACAGTCCATGGAAAGAGAAAAGTAATGTAATGGTTGCTTGGACAACCTGGAATTAATTATTAATTTGATCACTAATTAGCCATGTGAACTTAACACAACTTTTGCACACATTTTGCTCACCCAGCTCATTTGTGAAACTAACGTGGTCCTGCCTGCCGCAAGAGTTGTTGAGAACATTACATAAGATTAGGATAATAGCTGTGCCTAGCAGAGGGACAAAAAATGAATGGTGGTTGTGAAACCCAGAAAACCAAAAACACTGAAGTGGACAGAAGAGAAGGCAACTACCAATTCAGAGTGAGTGGTGAGAACAGCTAAGACAGAGAGACAGAGGTGTCCCTCCAAGAGATAAGCAAGTATTGAAGAGACAGTGAAAATGATAGACAAAGGAAGTAAGAGTACAAGTGCTGTTTAAAAAGGAAAAAAGCATAAAGTTGAAGTTTTGTAAAGCTAGAAGGAAAGAGCCATGCTATGGAGAACATTTTTTTAATTTTATTCAGAACAAACTGAAGGAAGAAACAAGATCAAGAACACTGATGGAAACATGAGCCTTACCATGTACAGCCGAACTGATCTTTGTGCAAGTCAATTTTCCTTGGTGTCACGTATATAAGGGACTCTGAGAAAGACTTACTTATACCAAAAATATTCAGATGGGCTACCTGTGCACCTGCATTCTTTCTGTTTCATCAGTGTCAGAGTTTGATACCCAGAGATGCTTTACATAGATATGGTGGTGGCAGCACCTTCCATATAACATGATTACTTGGAAAGTGATAAGCCAAACTTTAAAAAAATGAACAAAAACGCAGTAGACTAATCAAATTTATTATAGGGTTAAACATTAAATTTAAAATTTTGAGTGTATTGTGTGACTGTATCCTTGAGTTAGGAGGGTCTTGTTAATTATTGTTGAGTCAGTTCCGACTCCTGGTGGCCTCCTCACCACACCTCCTACAACATGGCCTGAACTTCGCTGAAAGGTTTGCACATCTAGGGCCTTTAGGAAGCACATTGCCAAGTATGTCTTCTGAGATGCCTGGGTTCAAACTGCCAGACTCTCAGCTAGTTAGTAGTTGAGCACTTAACAGTTTGTACCACCCAGTGACATCTTTCTTTAATAAAACTGATGATTTTTTAAAAGTACAAACTAGCCATTTTATAGTCCCACCAGGAGTACTTGAGAGTTCTAGTGTTTCTGCATCCTTTCTGAGATTTATTGCTTCTTGTTTTGTTATGTGAGATTGAGTCGCCTGCAACTCATAGTGACCCTATGTATAACACCCCCTGAACTCTGCTCTATCCCTTGCCAATTTTATTGTCTTCCACACAACTATCCCCATTACCCCAGTGACAGAATCAATCCGTCTCATCAAGGGTCTTCCTCTTCTGCACTGTCCCTTCATGGTAAGCATGACATCTCTCTCCAAGGACTGATCCTGCCTTGCAACATGTCCCAAAAAATGTCAGACGGAGCTTCGGAATCCTTGCCTCCAAGGAGCAGCCTGGTTTAACCCTCTCCAGAACGAACTTGTTTGCTTTCCTAGCAGTCCATGGTATATTCAATACTCTTCTCCAGCACCACAACTCATTAGAATCAACTTTCCTTCTATCGTCCCTAGTCATTGTCCAGCTCTCTGATGCATAGCAAGTGATTGCAAAGAGCATGGCCTGTATCAGATGCACCGTAGTCTTAAGACTGACATCGTTGCTCTTCAGTATTCTGGAGAAGTCTCTGACAGCAGACTTTCTCAGTGAAATTCATCTTTTAGTTTCCTGGCTGCTGGTAACAAGAGTGCTGATTGTAGAACCAAGTGAACTGAGGTTCTCAACAATCTCAATCCCTGTTCTATTAAACTTTGCTACTGCGTAAGTTGCTATCTCATTGATCTTTTGATTTGCATCTTTTTGATTGCCAGTGATCCTGAACAGATTTTTATGTGTGTGTTCACCTTCTGAATGTCCTTCTCTGCGAAAAATCTACTCATATCTTTTGCTGATTTTGTGATTGGCTTATCAGTGTTTTTCTTGTGGAAGTCTTATAGTATATCTTTAGTTATGAGACCTTTGTCTGAAATTGTTTTGCTAAATGTTTTTCCCCAGTCTGTGGGCTTTCTTTTCAATCTATTAGAAAAGGTTTTGATGCACATAGGCTGTACATTAATTAATTAATTTTTAGAAGGTCCCATTAGTTGATGTTATCCTCTCATGATACAACTACTGTGGAAGGAATTTTGATGTTTCCTCACAAACCTGAACATAAAAATGCCATGTTATCCAACTTTTCCACTGCTATCAATATACCCCAAGGATATCAGAGCTGAGACACAGTGAACTGTACACCTCTGTTCATAGCAACATTATTCATAGTATCAAGAAAATGGAAACAACCCAAATGCCTATCAACAATAAATGGCTACCAAAGCTATGGTATGTTCACACAATGTAATACCATGCAACATTAAAGAACAATGAGATATCCATAAAGTATGACACACCATGGAAGAGTCTAGAGAGCATTAAGCTGAGTGAAATAATTCAAACACAAAAAGAAAAAAAATGCCACTACTGTGACAATAGAAGGGTAACTGAGATGTTGGGAGGAGGGGAAGAATAGAAATGTAACGAGTAGGTAAAGAGCACTGCAAAGACCACAGCAGGCGAGGATCAACATGGGAAGAATTGAGATAAAGACAATATGGCTACTGCATTTAGCAAATGGGGACAAGGTGTCTGTAACCATTTAAGAGGAAAAGGGAGAAGGAGTGTGGAAGAAGGAAGAGGAAATCACTAGGACAGCAGAGATTAGTGAGAAGATGGGGAAATGTAAAGAAATAGGTCAGGTGCAGGGAGACATAAGGAGATAGGGAGATAAAAGTAACAAATCGGTAGTAATTCATGAGCCTCTTCCGTATTTCCCGTTGGGATGTAATTTCTAATAAATCTTTTTTACCTTAAAAAGAATAGTTATTAATTATAGAAAACATACTTTACAGAGATTGTTAAAGCACAATGTACATGAATAAAATGGTATGAATAATTGTATAAAAGTGAATGATGATCTAAATTATGAATTTTTTTAAAAAATAGAAACTAGTCTTGCTTTATTACAAGGAAGACTGAACTTTTGTGAGATTTTTTTTTTCCTTCTTCTCCTATAGGCTAAAAAAAAGCGAAGAGTGACCTGGTGCCTTGGCAAAATCAACAAAATGAAGGACTCTGCCTATGTAAATGAATTTAATAAGATGTCTGATGTAGCAGTAAAACCAAACAAGGTTACTTTACTAGGAGAAATTGATGAGTGTGAGTGCTTTTTCAAGTGGAATAACTTTTAATTATAAAGTGTACTTACAAAGAAAGACTACTTATAACTCCATTAATGATATATGCATACAATGGACATTTTTATGAAAATGTAATTTTGAGGAAATATTCAGCAAGTTCCAGTTACCTACCTCTATCTGTCTTACAGATATATTATGATTGAAACATATGACATTTTTTATTGTTATTCTAACCATTTTCAAATACTTTAAAATTCATATAGATACTTTAAACTTTGCCAGTCTTAAAATAGTGGCATTTATGTAAGAATCTGTGTTTCAGAATTTTGTCTCTAATGTAATTCATACTCTAGGATTATTGTGAATTACATTAGAGACAAAATTGAAACCCTCTGGTAGCCTAGTGGCAAGAAGCTGTACTGCAATCCCAAAAGCACATGGTGTGAGGCCAACAGCTCCACAAAGAAGGATGAGCAATCTCTTCCTGTGCAATTAACTGCCTCTGAAAATCCGCTGGAGGGTCAGCTGTGGGTTGGTTCCAACTCTGTGGTACACAACAACAACAAGGGACATTTTAAACTTAGAGTGGTCAAGTGTCAAATACCAATTTTGTCCTTTTAATTTATTATCTACAAAGGAATAATCCTGTATTTATCACTAATTTGAACCAGGGTTTTAATTCACATAAAAATGTAAATTAATGAAGGGGCAAAGAAAAGGGAAAAAATTAATAAACAGCTAAGATTTGAATGAAGGGAATAATAATATAATGTAAGGGTTTGCTTAGACATTGTAAAACATTGATTACATCAATGTCTTTGAATGTGTGAAAAACAAATGAGATTTGTAAGCTTTGACTCAGATAAATAGACTTATTTAAGAAAATATAGATGAATGCAGCTGTAAATTTATATTAATCGGTTTATTTATTTTGACATTCATATTCTGAGCATTGATTAGCTAATTTGAGGCTCTTGTTTGTGTATTAAATAATTTGATTTTTGGAACCTTGATAAATGTGTTTTTAAACCATTGTGTTTTTCCTCCCCTTACAGCCCTGTACTCAGAGCCTGATGTTTTTATTAACACTTTTGACACAACTGAGATAGAATGGAATCCAGCAACAAAGTTATTAACTCAGGTAACTCAAACTGTTTTCTAGGACATCCTTTCACTCTTCTTTTAAACTCCTTTGTTACAGAGTTCACTGTTGTAACATTTTTAGTCCTCACTTGATTTCAGAAGGCTTAATTGTAGTTAAGGCTCCCCTATGCTTTAAACACCTAAATGATAGCTAAACTTGATCGAAAGTTTGAGGAAATGTTGTAATGCTGTTTTTGCTAATTGGGAAGTTGTGCTTCTAATTCCTTACTAGCAGATCTTAATATTCTAATTTGTGATGTTATAAAATTTCTATTTTGTCTTAGACAATCTCAGAAGAGTAGAGGAGCTTCATGTCTTTGTTCATAGGGTCTCTATGAGTTGTGCTTGACTTGAAGGAAATCAACAACAAACACTTTAAAATCACAACATACATCTGGGAACATTAGCAATTTATGATATAAATGTAGAATCTAAATTTTTTAAATTGATTCCAAACAGTTTGGGGTATGACCTCACATAATACATCTGTCTTTATTTGTAATATTATTTAACAATATAATCTCTCTTTCTGGTGTATAATTCTTTTACTCTGTGAACTGGGACTTTTAAAATCAGTCTTCTACTCTTCCAAGAAAGACTTGAGTTCACCCTCTCCAACACAGACCTATTTGTTTTCTTGCAAGTCCATGGTAAAATTTTAATTTTAAAATGAAATTACAATACTTTTTGGTAATTATTGTTTATATTCATTAGTCTCTAAATTTTTATGTCCATGAAACATACTCTGGAAGTCTGTAGTGAAGATATGCTATTAACTTTTTTTGTTTTGTGTGAACTCATTGTTATCTCTTTTCTCATAATAACATAGAAAGTAGAAGCAGATCTCTTTCAATGTGGTAAAACCTAATAGCTACTGGAGTTTTAGAAGCTAGTAATACCTGTGTTTTTCTTCCTTAATTCAGAGGTGTCTGAAAAACAAAACAGCAGATGGCACATTAAATAATCCACTTTGTTATGGATCACATTAACTTGCAGAAAAGATTTTAAGCGTATGTGGCCAAGCTACATGACTAAATGGTTCAGCATTAAATTAATTATTTGACTAATCCAAATTTTGAATGAGAGAGCTCTGATTGCCTAGTGGTTAAGAAGCAGCATTGCAATCCCAAAGGCATATGGTTTGAACGCACTGACTGCTCCTCAGCAGAAGGATGGGCAGTCTCCTTCCATGTGATTTACTGCCTCAGGAAACCTGCTGGAGGGTCACCTATGGGCTGGTTCCAACTCAACAGTACACAACAATCATCCAAATTTTAGTTAAGAGTACAAAGAGTATAGTCTTTGTATTCCTTCTGATTTGACAATCTGGTTTTATTTATAATAGGAAACCTTAGAAAGTGAGTTGAACTCACTTCGTGCTAATTATGACAATCTAGTATTAGACTTTGAACGACTAAAAAAAGAAAATGAAGACATGGAATTAAAGTTAAAAGAAAAGAATGACTTGGATGAATTTGAGGCTCTTGAAAGAACAACTAAAAAAGATCAAGAGGTAAGAAATAATATAAAAATGTGAAACTAAAGATTGAGATAATAAGGATCCAATCATTCTTCACATATATGTACAACTTAGAGGCTCTATTAATTAGTTAATTATTAAACTAATTTTAAAAAGTTAAATCCTATTGTTTCACTTTGCTTATGCCCAAAGGAAAGAATTAAAAACATCTTTGAAAACATTTAAGAGCCCTGGTGGTGCGTTGGGTAAGGCTACTGTTCAAAAGTTCAAGTCAGTAGTTCAACCCACCAGTTGCTAGGAAAGAGAGGTGGGACGACCTGTAGCCTCTGGCCTTTCTGTTCTTTCTTTTGGGGTTACCGTGAGTCAGAATCAACTTGATGGCAATGTCACTGATTTTTTTTTTGAGGTTAAGAAAGTTCAATTAATCTACTTGTTGATAAATTTGTCTTAAGGAAATTTTCCTTATATTGACATGTTACCAGTATTTCATTTCTTGAGCATACCAGAAATTCTTGGAATTTCCTACTGAAGACAATATTGATTTTTATATCTAGATGTATGTTTTATATATGAATGTTATATATTAATGGATCTTCCTCTCCCCCTTTAACAATATAGTCATAAATAACTGAAGAAGCTGGTTTTGCACATTTCAGTTTTCTTCTTCCACATGAGAAAGCTATTGTGAAACTTAAAATAACCAGTAGTAAATAATTTTAATGATGAACATTTTTTAGAAACACATATTGCTTTAATTTTCTAAGTTTATACAATTAGAGTGTGTTTTAAGAGAAATCATCAGAATTTTTTGTTGTTAAGTGCCTTCAAATTTAGATATTGGCCAAAATTTGTAAGGAGTATTTAGTGTGACTTGTATTTTAATCTAGAATCCCAAAACTTTATGAAGTTATTCTGCATAATTTTAAGCGCATATTCCTTTTTCTTGAACAAAAATCAGCAGCTGTTAATAGACTTACAAAGTGATCCATGAAACCCCCTTCGACATCTCCAAATGAGAGACTATAAATGAGAACTTTAGTTATATGAGTTAATGAGTGTCTACTTTTCAGATAAGGGACATGATCCTCTTCTGGTGAAAAAGAGCAGTGAAGCTCTGGGAGCCATAAGGTTAAGAAGCAGCTTAACCTAGAGGCAATATCTCTCCGGCAGCGTGAATACACAAGCAGTCCTGAGGGAGAAAGATGGACAATATATAGCCTCTAAAAGCCACTAGAGTCAACTATGAGCAGATTCTGGCTACACAGCCGAGAGAGAGAGAAATATTCTGAAACAAGTCTCATTTCACTTGTTTTAAAATGTCCTGGGGAGAAAAATGTGAACTTGCACTCAAATTATAAAATACTTTTTTCATTTTTTTCCCCGTCATTATTATGTTCACACAAACAGATCAATATGTTTTGGGAAAAGTAGAACTAGAGTATTTCTTATAGGAAAGAATGGCAAAGCTTCGTCTCACACATTTTTGACATGTTGCTAGGAGAAGCTATTTCGTTGGAAAGACATGATAGAAAAAAAAGAGGGAGCCCCTCAGTGAGATAGAATGACACAGTGACCGCAGCAATGAGCTCAAGTGTGTCAGAGATGATGAGGATGGCATAGAATAGAGTTCAAATCTGTTGTTCATGGGTTTGCTATGAGTCATACTCCACTCAGTAGTAGCTCAAACAACTGAAGTGAAATATTGATGAGGACTGAAGTGGCAAAAAATACTATTTAAATGGCACATTATTTTTTTAAAGGAGCTGTGGTGTCTTGGTGGTAAGGAATTGCCCTGCCAACCCAAAAGTACATGATTTGAATACACCAGCTGCTCCATGGGAGAAGGATGGGCAGTCTCCTCCTGTGTGATTTATTGCCTCTGAAAACCCTCTGGAGGGTCAAGTGGGGTCAGTTCTGACTCAGTACGCAGCAACAACTATTAAGATAATTGAATCCTGTTAGAATTTTATTTCCTCTTTTAGTGTTTATCAGATTATAAAGATTAAATAATTCTAAGTGAAAATAAAGTTCTCTAAGATTTGAACTTGAGTGAACAGCACCTAACAACAACAACAGGGGAAAATATTTCTGGAAAATTATTGTTTACTTGGTTTGAGCACAAAAGCTTCTGGTACTAAAATGTGTAGTGCTCCAGATATTTTTATAGAAAAGAAAGTTTCATGGATAATATTTGTATATACTCAAATATTCTTTGTGCTTTAAGACATTTGAATGCTATAAAGCAGTAACATCATCTTTCCACTATTTTCTATGGAATAAACCATTGAGGTAATAGTTGATAATCTCATACTTGTATAGTTTTGGTGAAATAATAACAATGTTGGAAAGACGCCACATAGCACTACTCTAATTCACACTCAGATTCTGAATCATAGCTCATTAGAAAATATAGTATAAACAGCCAGATGAATGATTGTCTGACAAGATATCTACATATGTGTACTTAATTATCTCAGAGTAAAACTCTATTAAAAGCGTATTTTTGATAAAGTTTATAATCATTTCACTGTGTCCTTACAATGGTGTAAACTACTTTGCTATGATATTGTTGCAGCTTTCTTAACAGGTGACTTAACTATTATTTGGATCATGGTGATTTTTTTTTTTATGTGTGCATGGTTTTGTTTTTATTTTTGTATTTTTAAATAATAAGGTGCCCTGCTATGGTAGCTCCAACAGTTGCTGTTAGCCCTTTCTAACTGTGTTGGATAACTGAAGCAATGAAAGACTGCTCCTTTTTTTTTTTTTTTTTTTCTTTATTAACTATTGGTTTGGTCTATTGCTTATTCAAATGCTCTTACAGATGCAACTAATTCATGAAATTTCCAGCTTAAAGAATTTAGTTAAGCATGCAGAAGTATATAATCAAGATCTTGAGGTGAGCATTTATATTGATATTTCTATTTTAGAAAATAGAAGAATTTTTTTTTTTCATCTATTTGGTTATTATTTTAAAAGTCCTTAACAGACATACTAGCTTTGGAATTTGCCTTCTTAAATTCTGATAGGTTAATTTTTTTTTTTTTTTAATTTAGGTTGTTTATTTTTCATTTCAATGAACATCTACAGAGATTTT